ACCCTACCCTGTTGAGTCCGAAGGTGTTTCTTAGCATGGTGCCTACGTCTTAAATTCCAAATCAACTGGAGCTAGCGACCGGAGGAGGCGGAGAAGGAGGAGGAGGAGAAGGAGGAGGAGGAGGAGGAGGAGGAGGAGGAGGAAGGGGGCGGAGGAGGAGGAGGCGGCGGAGGAGGAGGAGGAGGAGGAGGAGGAGGAGGAGGAGGAGGAGGAGGAGGAGGAGGAGGAGAGGAGGAGGAGGAGGAGGAGGAGGAGGAGAAGGAGGAGGAGGGGGAGGTTGACAAGCTAGGTGCGCTCGCGTCATATCTGACGTCCTACCCCTCCCTCCCATCCCTTACCATGGCGCTGATTTTCTCTATCCGCGGACGCGTGTCGTAGCGGACCTGTGGCTCCGCGCGCGCGTGCGTAGTGGGTGGTGGTGCGCGTGCGTGCGTGCGTGCGTGCGTGTGTGCGTGGTTGTGGTGGTGGTGGTGGTGGTGGTGGTGGTGGTGGTGGTGGTGGTGGTGGTGGTGGTGGTGGTGGTGGTGGTGGTGGTGCTGGTGGTGGTGGTGGTGGGTACTGGTGCTGGTGCTGGTGGTGGTTGTGGTGGTGGTGGTGGTGGTGGTGGCGGTGCGGCGCGGTGGTGGCGGGCGGATGGGCGCGCGAGAAAAAGGCCCGCGCTGGGGCGAGAACGCCATCCTGAACGACGGAGGCCAAACACCGATCCGAAAATGAGGCCCACGCTGCAGCGGGAGCACGATTCGGAACGATTCGGGAGCAGAAATGAGGCCGGCGCCTCAACGAGAGCAGCATTTTGGGAAAAAATGACGCCGGCGCCTCAGCGAGAGTCGTTTCCCGGGATTTCCCGGGATCCTGTGTGTAAAAAAACAGTACGCGGAGGGTGCGCGGCCATCACCCGGACGCCATCAGGGGAAGAGGGAGAGTATTTTCATATTGAGTAATTGTGGAGGAGGAGGAGGAGGAGGAGGAGGAGGAGGAGGAGGAGGAGGAGGAGGAGGAGGAGGAGGAGGAGGAGGAGGAGGAGGAGGGAGGAGGGGGAAGGGGAGGAGGAGGAGGAGGAGGAGGAGGAGGAGGAGGAGAAGGAGGAGGAGGAGGAGGGGGGGGATTTTCCCAGGGTTTCCTACAGGTCGGCGACCTAGGGGCGGGGGGGGCAGGAGCGGGGGGGGGCAGCAGGGGCGCCGACGGCGGGCGCGGGCAACCTGCAATAGGCGACCCGCGATCCGCCCACTCAGGCCTCGGTGCCAGAGTCGGGGGCCAGGCCGGCCCACGTCACCACCTCCACCAAACAGATCACTGTGCTGCGTCGGCCGTGTCGAAGCGGGGCACGAACACAACGAGAATCTGAAATCTCACACTGTGATAGTATGAGGCAACATCGCAAACTTACCTGCGAGCGAAAGGTCCAGCCGTCATGCCACGCGAAGCGCGTGGAATATATTACAATGCAAGCCGGGCGTGTTGTAGGACAGGACGAACTCAACAAGAACTGAACTCCACACTGCAAAGAATTCACTCTACGGCAAATCGAGATTTGAAGCCATCCAGCCCCGTAGCGGATGTCACACCTTTCGCCGAAGCAAAGTTGGTGAGTGCTCGTTGTCGTCTGAACACGCGTAGCGCGTGGAATACATGAGTGCTGAGGCGGGCACGGCGTAGGACGGCACGAACTCAGCAATAACTGAGGATCTCACACTGCGATAGAATGAGGCAACATATAACTGTGCTAAGTGGGGCATGTCGTAGGTCTGCTCGAACTCAACAAGAACTGTCAAACGATCATGCTTTGCTTTCGGCCTGGCGGGTATCTGAGCCCTACCAGGCCGCGCTTGGAGCCATCCAGCCCCGTCGCAGAAGTCACACCTTTCGCCGAAGCACGGCTGGTGAGTGCCCTCGGTCGGCAGGACACGCGTAGCGTGCAGAATCTATTACTGTCGAGCGCGTTGTAGGACGGCGCGAACTCAACAAATGAAATATGACAAGTGCTGGCGTAGTGCAGCGTAGGTGCTGGCGTATGGGCGTAGGTGCTGCGCAGGTGCTGCGTCGGTGCTGCACCGGCCGTGTCGAAGCGGGGCACGAATTCAACAAATCTGGAATCTCCCACAGTGATAGTATGAGGCAACAACATAAATTTACCTGCGAGCGAAAGGAACAGCGGGCAAGGGCCCCAACCGTGCTTGGGGCCCTCCAGCCCCGTAGCGGATGTCACGACTTTCGCCGTGGCAGAGCTGGTGGGTGCTCACGGTCGTTCTGCCGCGCAGAGCGCGTGGCATATAAACAGTGCAAGTCGGGCGTGTAGTAGGACAGCACGAACTCAACAATAACTGAACTTCGCACTGCAGAAGAATTCGCTCCACGGCAAATCGAGATAAGAAGCCATCCGGCCTCGTAGCATGTGTCGCGCCTTTCGCCGAAGCCAAGCTGGTGAGTGCTCATTGTCGTCTGAACACGCGTAGCGCGTGGAATATATGAGTGCTGAGTCGGGCACGGCGTAGGACGGCGCGAACGCAACAATAACTGAGGGACTCACGCAGCGATAGAACGAGGCGACATATAACTGTGCTAGGTCGGGCACGTCGTAGGTCAGCTCGAACTCAACAAGAACTGTCAAACGATCATGCTTTGCTTTCGGCCAGGCTGGCATCTGAGCCCTACCAGGCCGCACTTGGAGCCATCCAGCCCCGTCGCTGAAGTCACACCTTTCGCCGAAGCGAGGCTGGTGAGTGCCCTCGGTCGTCAGGACACGCGTAGCGTGCAGAATCTATTGCTGTCGAGCGCGTTGTAGGACGGCACGAACTCAACAAGTAAAATATATCAAGTGCTGGCGTAGTGCAGCGTAGGTGCTGGCGTATGGGCGTAGGTGCTGCGTAGGTGCTGCGTCGGCCGTGTCGAAGCGGGGCACGAACTCAACAAAATCTGGAATCTCACACGGTGATAGTATGAGGCAACATCACAAATTTACCTGCGAGCGACTCGCAACTGTTGCCAAGATAAGACACACAAACATGCGATCAGACACTGGACGATTCGTAACTGTTGCCAAGATAAGGTACACAATCATAAGATCCATATCCAACACAAATACGACAAAGAAGACCCGAGGGGATACACGCTCCGTCGCATTTAGGCCATCGTGGGCACCCGTATGGGCTCTACGGGTCTACCCCCTCGGGAATAGAATGACACCGATGGACAGCATGCACCATTACCAATCTATCAAGAATATCAACATTCATCAGAATAATACCGTAATCTTTACCAAGCCAGTCACGCGTTGTACGACGTCACGAACTCAACATGTGAAAAATGACAAGTGCTGGCGTAGTGCTGCGTGGGTGCTGGCGTAAGTGCTGTGTAAGTGCTGGCGTATGGGCGTAGGTGCTGCGTAGGTGCAGCGTCAGTGCTGGTGCTGGCGTCGGTGCTGCGTCGTGCCTATCTACGATAGGCCGACCGTCGACGATGCACATCAAGCATGCATCCGCAGGGCCCTCACCACATAGTAGCCTTTGGTCTTCTCCGCTGGCGGATTGCACTCCTGTGGCAATTTTTCGCGGACGTAGTGTTTGGCCAAAGCCCCGCAGTTCCAGCAGAAATGACCCTGCTCCTTTCCGCTCCACTCGATGTGGTGGGACATGTGCGCACATCTCCTTTTGAGTGAGAATACACCTGACACGCTGGGGCATGTCTGCGTAGCCGAGCAGTCCGTCTGCAGCCACCATCTTGCCATCAACTTCCCTCGTGAAGCTGTAGATTGCGCGCAAGATAAACATTTCCAGCCAGTTATAGTCCTCTCCAATCTGTGCTTGCTGATGCTTGCGAGCTGGTCCAGAGTGGGTTCTGGGGGCTTATTCTGCTTGGCCTCCTTCCGTAGCTGATATCGATCCTCCCAAGACATTGGCGGATTTCGTTCCATTGCGTCCATAGTTACTTGGGTGATCCGCTGCCGTACGAGTTGACCAACTGCTCTAACCCATTCGTAACAGCTGAGCTGTGCCGCTGGGATAGCATGCTCTTCCGCTGCAGGGTCCGCACGGTGATCAGCTTCTCGGTTTCCAATCCAGGCCCACTTTGGGACTTGTCGTTCTAGTGCTTCTTCCAGGCTGAGGTGGCTACGCATGTGTTTGACCATGATGTCGTTGTGATCTCCATCTCGCTGTTGAAGAGCTTGTTTAATCTTTCTCCATATATCGCAGGAGGAGAAGGCGGAGGAGGAGGAGGAGGAGGAGGGGGAGGAAGTGGAGGAGGAGGAGGAGGAGGAAGAAGAGGAGGAGGAAGAGGAGGAGGAGGAGGAGGGGGAGGAGGAGGAGTAGGAGGAGGAGAGGAGGAGGAGGAGGAGGAGGGGAAGAGGAGGAGGAGGAGGAGGAGGAGGAGGAGGAGGAGGAGGAGGGAGGAGGAGAGGGAAGGAGAAGGAGGAGGAGGAGGAGGAGGAGGAGGAGGAGGAGGAGGAGGAGGTGGAGGAGGAGGAGGAGGAGGAGGAGAGGAGGGGGAGGAGGAGGAGGAGGAGAGGAGGAGGAGGAGGAGGAGGAGGAGGAGGAGGAGGAGGAGGAGGAGAGGAGGAGGAGGAGGAGGAGGAGGAGGAGGAGGAGGAGGAGGAGGAGGAGGAGGAGGAGGAGGAGGAGTGGAGGAGGAGGAGGAGGAGGAGGAGGAGGAGGAGGAGGAGGAGGAGGAGGAGGAGGAGGGAGGAGGAGAGGAGGAGGAGGAGGAGGAGGAGGATGAGGAGGATGAGGAGGAGGAGGAGGAGAAGGAGGAGGAGGAGGAGGATGAGGAGGAGGATGAGGAGGAGGAGGCGGAGGAGGGGGGGAGGAGGAGGAGGAGGAGGAGGAGGAGGAGGAGGAGGAGGAGGAGGAGGAGGAGGAGGAGAGGAGGAGGAGGAGGAGGAGGAGGAGGAGGAGGAGGAGGAGGGGGAGGAGGAGGAGGAGGAGGAGGAGGAGGAGGAGGAGGAGGAGGAGGAGGAGGAGGAGGAGGAGGAGGAGGAGGAGGATCCCCCCCGTGGCCGCCCAGGCCTGGTCGAGCAACGCGTAGCTGCCGGAGCCGCCCCACGGGTCGCCCGCCTGCGCGGCCTCGGCGTCCTGCGCGTCGGCCGCCGCGGGCCCCCGCCCGCCCTCAACTGGGGGTATGGCGATCCCGATCCCCGACCCTGTGGGGCTTTCGACCGGGCAGCAAATGTAGGGCGCATCCAGCTCGGGGAAGAATCTGCGATGGTGTGGCGTCCTTTCTCGGTAGGGATGCGCCCGGAAGAGCCCCCCTGGGGGAGTATCCCCGAATGCCCCTCCATTCCTGAACGCCTCGTCTCTCGGTGCGAAACTCGGGGGCCGTGGGATCCGCTGATGGCGCGTGGGCTCTTGGTGCCTTTTTCTGTGGCCAAGCAGACACGCTCGAGGCGCGAGAGCCATCAGATGCGATCCTGGGCCACCGATTCTGCACTCGAGTGCCCTTGCGTGCCGTGCCGGTGCGCGCCGGAAAGAAAAAACTTGCGCCAGAATGGACTGCGAGCCCTCCCGTCCAGCTGCGCCCGCGGTCGAGCACGGGCCTTTTGGAGGCCTCCCTGGGTGAGGTCCGACGAGATGTGGTCAGATGACTGCGCCGCATCGGCGATGCATCGGCGATGCCTCGGCGATGCCTCGGCGACGTCGGCGATGCATTGTATCGGCGACGCCGGCGTGGAGAAAATCTGACTCCACATCGAGATGCATCGCCGATGCATGGGCGATGCGGGGCGATCCTCCGATCCCAGCTGCTCCGACCCCATCTAGGAGGCCTCGACCGTTGCTCGGCCACACGCAAGAGTGACCCTGGGAAAGGGTGACCCTTGGTGCGCGGCTTTCTGTGGGCCGCGGGGGGACCAAACACAGGCGAGCAGGGCGCTTCTATCGCGTCGCGCTCGGCGATCGGGGGACCCCAATGGGCCCGCGCCAGAAGCAACTCCGCCGGAGAGTCACTCTTACGGGCAGTCGAGCTGCTCCCGTGCCCGGCCCCCATCCCTGCCCCCCGTGGCCTCCTCTCGGGCGAGATCGCGGCGGAGGGCTTCTTGGGCCAGCCTCGGCCGCGGGAGGGCCCGCGCCAAGCCCAGGAGGAGGAGGAGGGGGAGGATGAGGAGGAGGAGGAAAAGGAGGAGGAGGAAGGAGGAGGAGGCAGAGGAGGAGGAGGATGAGGAGGAGGAGGAGGAGGAGGAGGAGGAGGAGGAGGAGGAGGAGGAGGAGGAGGAGGAGGAGGAGGAGGAGGAGGAGGAGGAGGAGGAGGAGGAACAGGAGGAGGAACAGGAGGAGGAGGAGGAGGAGGAGGAGGAGGAGGAGGAGGAGGAAGAGGAGGAGGATCGGAAACGCTGGGGACGATCTCGAGCTCCCAATCAGACGGCCTGCGTTCGCAGGCAAACAAAATCGAGCACACGTCCCTGCGACGGCCAGCGGCCGAACAACATCCAACTTAAACCCCGAGGTCCTGCAGCGAGGAGGGCCTCGACGGGCCCCGAGGCGAGCCCCAGTCGGGAGGAGCGGCCTCCCTGGGGCGCCTGCGGGCACCAGCACTAATCACGAACGTCGGCGAGCGGACTGCCCCCCTCGCTTCGGGGGGGGGGGCGTCCTCGCCTGGGCTCCTCGGTGGGCGCGGCTCGCCCCAGGGCGCGGTCCTCGTCCGCGGCCGCGAGCCGGGCCTCCTCTCCTTCACCGCCGTCCGCCGCCGTCCCACCCCCGCTCCCCACGAAAGCGTCTCTCCCCGCCGCCCTCGCATCGCGGACGAGCCCGCGCGAAACGAGTGAGGCGAGGCGGGCGCTAGAAGCAAGGTTGGGAGGGGGCGCAAGAGGGGCGGGGGTGCGGAAGGGGTTCGAAGCGGAAGAGGAGGACTGAGAAGGCTGGGTCAAAAGGCGCTCAGTGGGGGCAGTCCTGTCATCAGCGTCTCGACCTGATAAGACACTGCCCACTCTATCCACATAATCAGATTGAATCGAAGTGCGTGGTGCCATCGACGGGCCTGGCCTCATTCCACCCAACATCTTCGACTCAGAGATAGTATTAGGTGCTGAGGAGCTCGGGCCAAGACTCTGATTCAATACCCCAGTATTCAAATCATCAGTTCGATGTCCAGAGTCCATCTCCTCCCCGTTCCAGTCTATAAGTATGAAGTCTCCTGGCTCCCAATCTTGCCCTGGAGCCGCTTCTGGAGGTGGCGCTCGGCCTCGCTGCGGGGCGCTGAGCCCGCGAGGCGCTGGGCGTTGAACTCCGTGAGCGTGCGCGTCATCAGCTCCTGCAGGCCCGCGCTCGAGCCCAAAACAACGTGCAATTTGAACTTGGCCATGCCATCCATGCGCTTGCTCTTCTCGCCGAGCAGCACCTGGAAAGAGGAATGACGCACCATCTGCGCAATCTCTGCGGGTTGCTTTTCTTTGATGTGTGTGTCCCAGGTGTTGGCCGCGTCTTTGTGCTGGCCTTTCTGGGGCTGGTTCTTGATCTCGGCCGTTACTATCCAGAACGCTGTGAGCCACGGTGGTCCCGCACTGCCTATGTCCGTGGTCGGGTCGCTGGCGGCCTGCTCCTTCAGCTGCTTCACGCTCTCGGCGTAGTACTTGTTGCCTCTTAGGCCCGCCTGGGCCAGCCACGTCTGGTGGGATGTCAAGAACGTTTCGTTGATGCTCGACTCCATGTCTACGATCGCCCTCGAGTTGGCCAGCGTCTGGCGCACTATCCACATCATCGTCGAACAATCTATGGCGTCGTCGCCTCGGTTGCCACCTCCGCTTCCTCTGCCTCGTCTCCCGCCTGCTCCCCCGGCCGCTGCAACGGTGCGCGCCGCCTGGGACAGCGGTCCTCCCGCGGCCTCGGAGCCCTGGCACTTGCGCAGCAGGTAGAGCCATGTGGGGGTGTCCAGAGTCACGACCTCCATGGCGTCTGCCATGCCGAACCTCTGGAAGCTCAGGGAGGTGCGTGCACGCGTGAACGGAGTACTCGTCAAGTGTCAAAAAACTTGAGCCGCATATCCGACAGACCAAAGCTCCTGGAGGAACGAGGGCGCGAAGTGTGGTAGCTTTGCCGAGTCAGCATCTGCCGTGCAATATTGAACCGTGAAGGTGCTTCTGGGCCGTCTTCTTATCCCAGAATAGTTCGCGGCATACGATACACTGGTTACTCTTTGTTAGTGCTTGGGGCAACTTCACCGTGCCCTGCGTACGACGAATGTGGTTGATAAGCCCAGAGCGAGATGCGAAACGAGAGCAGCACAACGGCCAGGGACGCACGTGCATCTCATCAGTGCAGAGCGCCTCGAACTCAAGAGCCTCGAAGTCCACGAGGATGCCTGGGGGGGGGGGGCTCGGTGGTGAGAGCTGCGCTACGGAGGATACTAACGTCGATCTTCGCGAAGTCTCCGGCGATGTCGAACTTCAAGAGGCGAAGGAGAGAACCCGGGGCGCGATCCCAGCATTCCGCCGCATCAGAACTCCATTGTATCAAAGTGTAAATGTCATCCTGAAGTCGAACCGCCCAAGGATTTGCATGTGGACTAACTGTGCCCTCGTCCGTGAAAACCCCCGCCCCGACAGCCATGTCGCCCAAGAGTGCCGCCAGATACTGAGTATGTGCCGAAGGGTGGCGGAGACATGCCTGGAACCACCTAAGTCGTCGAACCTGTAGCTCTATCTCGATCGGGGCGAGACGCCACCAGTCTAGAACAGCCAGAGGCGACGTCGACCTCCTCCTCCCCATATCGTCCACCCAGCTCGCCTCCCCTGTCATCGCTTTTCTCGCCAAGGCTGCAATGGCGTACTGGGGCGTCGATAACTGCTTGGGGCTAAGTAGACGTGCCTCCACCCCCGACAATGTCGTGTTCACGATATTGCATCATAAGACACACCTCTTCCACCTAACAGGGGCACCCTTCTGGGGCAAGAAATTGCCCAGGCGATGAAATGATGATTTCATAGCAGCGATTCGCCGAGTGAGTTCCGAGCTGAACGCCTGCGTCGGAGTAATGTGCGGCCCCAGGTATCGAACGGCATCTCCGACTCGAGTTTCCCGGTCTCTGAGAATCGCAGCTGCACCTCGCCGATAGCTGGGGGGTACCGACGCGATCGACTCCTGCTTCCTCTTGTTCCTCACGAGGCCGATGGCGCCCAGCTCCTCACCCAGGATGCGATCATTCAAATCGAGGAGCTGTCCGAACTTCTGGGCGTGAAGCGGGGGGGCGATAATCAGCTTTTTCAGGGATCGTCCGCGAACTTCTGCAGTCCGAGGCACGCAGGTTCTGTGCCGAGACCAAGCTCAGCAGGCAAGGTGGACTACAACAGCTGTTCACCAGGGTCCTGCTCTTGGCAACGATGCAACCAGCGATCAACTGGTCCCTTGAGAGCTCGCGCGAAGCTGGCCACCGCGAATGGGTCGCCCTGCAAAGCACCACATCCTGGCCTGACAGCGAGCGGGCCGTCGGAGGACGGCAGCGTGCATCCAGAAGTGCGATGCAGTTGTCGACGCAAAGCTCTGTCCCGAGGTTGAGCGAGGGCATGGCGCGCTCGGTCCAGGGATTCCCAGGTGGGGGGCGCAAACGCGTTCGCAAGATCTTTCAAGGAACCGCACCACTGAATCCCTGCATGGTTCAGCCTCCATCCCGTGATCATACATGCTGCAATGGCGTCCTCACGACGGCGGTGACGCAGAAAGCCGTGGTCGCAGGCTGAATTCTGAACTTCGGTCCCACCTTGATTATTCCAACATGGAACCCCTTGCTCAACGGATCCAACCCATGAACGACTCGTTTTCCTCGAGGCCCCGCGATAGCAGCTTTAGGTAAAGCGAACCCCTGGCTGGAATTCCAAAGCTTAGGAACCGCTCCCCAGTGCCGTATACTAGCAACTAACCTATGCAGCAGCGGCTCAGAGCATTGCCCATCCATCTTGCTCGTGTCTGCCCCGAGCCCCGCCCGTGCATTAGACGCAGTATGAGCCGTGGGCTTGCCTATGCAAATATGCCAGAGCTCCAGCGGAAGTGCCCGCGCAGGTACTCCGCGACGCTTGGGGGCTCGAGAAAATATAGAACATATATCTGGATGAGCTCCAAGTCGAGTGTGGCGCGCATGCGTGCCGATG